AAATGTGTGTGCGCCCAAATATCCTCGGCCTTAAAAAATTTCACTAGAAGAGATTGTTTTGATGCCCAAATTTATCATCTCGACGTCAAGATGCATGAATATGAGAAAAAAATAGATTTCAAGTTGTGGAGATATTGTATTTTGTAATGCATTTTTGGATCGTCAATTTTTAAGATTTTTAAGTTTTCATAGATATGTCGGTCTACGCTATTTTTGAAGCTTTAAACTTTATAAATAAAGTTGAAAATATATTTTAAAGCTATCACAAAGATTTTCAATATTGAAACCATATTTCTCGACAATTTTTGAAAGTACGTTTTAATTTGATTGTACAAATTTGATTGTTTAAAGCCTAGGCTTTGTACAAACTGCACCTATCCGATGTGAAATCTAATAATTTGGGTGCGTCATAAAATTCAAAAAAATTTCATTTGAACTTTGAGATTCGTCAGTGAAATAAGTGTCACTATCCAATTTCACATTTAATGATTAAGATTATTTGTGACCACCTTACATCAAACGTAAATGATCTCCTTATAAATGTAGGAAAAAGATGGAAAACTCGTATGCAAATAGTGTTGATGGGAATCGCAATTTGGATAGGTTGCGGCATCCCAATTAAAAAAAAAACCGAACTTTTCCCTCTTTCAACTCCCTGACACTCCTGTTCCCCGTACGAAATTAAATGCATCCCAGCTCCCTACACCTTGACCTTTTTTCTCTAAATCTTCTGCTACCTACACCTCCCCCTCTCTCCCCTCTCTAACCAGTAAGAGAACCTCCCTTTCTCTGAAAAAACTCTTTACCCCTCTCCCTCACCCTTCACCAGATCTCTATATCTCTATGGAGATCTTAGATAATGTCCTGTGTATTTTAGTACTTGGTTTGCAATCCAAATCTTTGAAAGGTTGCAATATTGGAAGCAACTTTAACTTGTGTTCGTATTATCATGATAAATTGAAATGCTGGTGGTGATTATTTATCAAGAATATCTCAACAATAAGTATATTTGCATAGATTTTTAAGTTGTTTTGTCTCTTTTTATAGTACGATCAGAAAATATCAGGGGGTAATTGTACATTTCAGTTTTTGATGAAGTAAATGAACCACTTTCCCGCTACATACGACTCTCCCTCCCTCTTTCTTTCTACCTATTTCCCTCTATTATTCCATGAGAATGTACTTTTGCAGTGAGTTTTTTGAGAAAATGGAAGGTTGCAATATTGGAAGCAATTACTAATGTATCTATAGACGATTTCCTTCTTACAACATCAATACAAGAGCTAAGATAGTAATAAACACACTATAATGTAGTATTTGCACTATAGTTCTAGTTTCTTTACTTGGATGTAGTAGATAGTGTTTGCACTATAATTCTAGTTTCTTTTATAGTGCTATATCACAACATATGCTCTGTCATACATGTAAATATGGTGAATTTTATAGCATTGTGTATATATGTCGAATTGTCAATGTGTTAATTTTGTTTAAAACTCGTGCATGTCTTCATCTGATGTACCCTAATGCTTAACTATGACTGTACATATATCAATGCATTTTTAGTCACAAAATATCTGTTAACTCATTTGAAGTTTATTTATTTTTCTTGAAGCCTTTAGGTGCACTAACCCCGGTTATGGGACAAAGATGTGTGAACACCCCAAGGAGCAGAGCAATCCTTGACAAGAGCATGGAACATCATTAGTCAATGACATCTTCATGAGAGTGTTATTTATTGTGGATGTGGG